TGTTGAAATGGGCTATGACATATTAAAGTGTCACAAACAAATGTCAGTATTTGTATTAACTATAACATTTTGATATGTCTCGAGAAATGTCAATATATGCATCACCAACGACGCATTGAAATGTCCCAAGAAATGTCAGTAATTGTATCACCTATGACAATTAGGAATGTCCCGAGAAGTGTCACTATTTGTATCAATCATGACATATTGACATGTCGTTATAAATGTCACTATTGAGATGGACTATGACATATTGAAATGTCATAAAAATGTCACCATTTATATTAACTGTAACATTTTGATATGTCTCTAGAAATGTCACTATTTGCATCACCTACGACGCTTTAAAATGTCGCAACAAATGGTTTTAAGCAACGATTATAAGTGTCGCAATATGTAAAATAAACGTCACACAAAAGTGGTACTGACAGTTGTCGCAAATGTCACAAAAAAAGTTAGTGACACTGGATTATGTGACATTTGTGTGACATTTGTGTAAAATGTCAGTGCATCTCTATTGTGACATTTTTCTACCTTTTAATGACAATTTGCTGAATTTAAAATTGTCGCTTCAGCTATTTTTTTTTTGTAGTGTATATTGTCCGAATATCTGTTTACAACTTTAAGATTTGTCCGATAATGCATTTCAAAATTCACAATCTGCAAGTTTAGTTATTCTCAATATGTTAATTTTTTAAATTAATTTTTTTTCTTTCCCAATAAATACCAATCAAAATCACCATATATCTTATATTCACTGGAGAGGAAGGAAGAGGAGAAAAAAACACCCCCTATTTTATTCCATTATTAATTCTTCCTAGCAATGGAAGCTATAATGTGAGAAGGATTATATTATTCAATTGGTAGTGAGGCAGAAGAAAGGAGACATATCACCCACGCAAGGAAGGTGGAGGAAGCCATGTCCGTATAATTGGAGGGCATGTGCTCAATCTGCTGAAGAATTGAGGTTGCCCGCTCTGCAATTAATCTCTTCTCTCTTTCTCCCCTCGTGACCCCGGAAGAAGATAGATAGTTCCTTCCTTCCTTCCTTCCGGGAGAGAGAGATTTCATATACATGGGAATTCCAACACACACGTATTGATATAAAGACAATTTGTTTTTGGGAACTCTCTCAGGATGGATCGGTCGTATTGGGTTCGTACGTACAACAATAATGGAGGTTTGTGGAGATGAACAGAACGTGAAGCTGTTTCTTTCTCCGAAGATGATGCCGAAACTTACCTATCATTAGTCGCCAACACCAAAACAAGCCCACGATGGTTTTATCTGCACTGCGCATATGGAATGGAATCAAAGCTCAACGTTCTACGTACGTACATTCCATATTATAATTTTTACGCTCCCTTACACAAGCAAGCAACACGTACACATTATACAGAAACGGATTGCATGTTCTCTGGAATACGCTGTTGACTTTAATGCCGCTCAATTAAGGATAAAAAAAGACAATTATGCAAATTGATTGTACCCTTTTTTTTTACAATAGATTGTACCTTATTAGATGTGGCAATTTTGCATTCAGTCGATTAATCTAATATAATTCATTCATTTAAATATTCAACTACTTCAATCCATTTAAATTTAATTAATTTGATTCAAATTTGATTGGATTGGTGAATTAATGGATTGTTGACAAATTACAGTTCATTACGTATATTTTAGTTTATGGTACCTAAACTTTATTTTTTAAACAAAAAATACCATTGGAAAATTATGTTTTTAGTATCTAAAACATTTTATTATGATATTTCAGCAAACTAAACTTTTCAAAATTTACATATTTGTCCAATATTTAGATGTCACTTGGATCCATGATCCAATTTACCAATCCATTTGATCCAATTCATGAATCCATCAATTCATTTGATATAATCCGTGAATTCAATCCTTTTGTCACCTCTATATATTAACATAAATGTATAATTTCAAGCTAAAGTCAATGATAAAAGAAGAAAAAGATAATCCATAAATGGAGAAATCGATGAAGAAGAGGATGAAGATACAGTGCTGAAAATATTTCAGACTCAGCTCGAACTGTCTGTTACTCTTGAAGTGCCATCAATTAATTAAAAGTGTTAACCTTTTAGCTAAGTGAACATGGAAATGTGGGAGTTGCATGATTAAGCCTTACCAAGATCATGTGTTTAGGTTTTAGACTACAACATCCACTGTGGATGATGGCATTTGGGACCAAACTCAAAGAAAAAGCTTTCATTTCCATGCAACACATGGATGATGGACCATTTGCCCTTACTATTGTGATAACAGCCTCCAAGAGGGTCATGTGCTGTGTTAACACCAACTTGAGAGAGGGCAAAAAAACACCCAAGATGGTGATTTGACATCAACAAATCCTGGATTTCTCGATTCAGCCCTACCTATATGCATGGGATCCACATTCCTGCGCGTGATTGCAATCAATAAGGAATAGTTAGTGAAATTGTGTGCATTGGTTGATAAGATTGTGTAAAACAAAAATTGCTTGAACATATGAGATTATGTGAAAATCATATTATAAGCTTGAACATAAATTGATTTGTGTGAGTGATTGGTGAAATTACGTGGAAATAGAAGTATATATACGTGTAAATTTTGTACAACATTTTTTTTACTAAGTGTACCAAAAAAAACTTCATGAAATTTTGGGGTCGTTTGTTTGTGGGATTTGGTTGGTGAAGACACTCAAATATCAAACATTATGGATTTAAACAACTCCATTGTTTGTTGTGTAACAAATTGGAACACAAATCCTTAGGGCCTCCGTATTTGAATTTTTTTAGATCCTAATCCGTAGATCCCACGAATTTGTAAATGTCACATTTTATTTGGGATTTGTGTAACAGATAATTGAGACTAAGTGGTGTGTTCGTTAACATGTTATGGTATCAATGTCTTAGACCAAGAGGTTATGGTTTCAAATCCTTATGACGACCCCAGGTACAAACAGAAAGCCTCTACAAACTGAAAACCTGCATGTAGGCTTTCGTTTCAGGAAGCGTGCAAGATATAAAAATTTAACAAACTCTTTTCTCAAAGAGCACTTCTACTATGCTATATAGTATTGGTGCTTTAGTGTACAACTTGAAGTTGTACCATAACATTAAATGTATAAGTTTAGATTGTACCATAAAGGAATTTGTATCTTTATGTTATGGTACAATTTTACAACTTGAAGTTGTACCATCACATAAGGTACAAGTTTAAGTTGTACCATAAAAGAATTTGTACAAAAAGTATAGGTACAATCTGAAGTTGTACCACAACATTAAAGTTACAATTTCAAGTTGTACCATAAAGGTAAAAACCTATAGCACCAATGCTATATAGCATTGTAAAATTCCTCTTTCTCAAAAACTCGAGGTATTAGAACTAAATGGTTTGTTCATTAACAATTTGGCTTATGACAGAAAATTTTGAGGTTCATGGTGCAAAAAGCTATATATTCATGATAAAGAAAAATTAACTAGACAAACAATAAATCCTTCCAATTCCACAATACTACAAATCCATCGTAAATTCATACATTTTCGAAACTCAAAACACTTACTTTCAGATTCAAACAAACAAACTAAATCAGCAATTAAATGGGTTTTTGTTAAGCAATGCCAAAAAGGAGCAGAAACCCCTTTGTTTTGGGCTTCAATTAATGTACCCTAGAAAAGACAACTATATGATTATGAAGTCTGCGAGTTCTGAGCCAACAAGAACAGGAGGAGAAGGTGGGTTTGTTTCTTGGTTTCCATTTTTAAATCCTGGAGTTGAGTGAAGATGGTCCATCCAGCCAGCCATTTGCCACTCTAAAATGGGGGTTACAGGGACCATTACTATTATTACAACTCTTTATCTCATAAAACTGCTCCAAGCAAGATGCCAAAGGGGGTCAACACAACAAGTAATGCTAAAAATGGACCACTTATCTAATCCCACTGCTTCAATCAACAACTAATTCAAGCCTTGAGCTAACCTTAAGATTAAGAAAAAGCGAAAGACTTGTTTTGTTTTAGGTAGTTGGTAATGGTGTTTAGTCTTATAAAAGTTCAGATTAGCGCAGTCACAAACTTGCATACCTGATGCCACTCCATCCTTGTGTGTTGCCCCAAAAAATAGTCATCTATATTTGTACCTAGTGAGCATCAAATGGGCACAATCCGGAGTACGAATGAGAGCTCACCCTAAAACGTGAAATAGTCATGTTGTTGTGTGGTTATCGTTACGTGGTTTAATCTCAATTATTTTTTAGAAATAAGACAACAATATCGCGCGTATCAGAGAAGATCAAGTGTTCTCGTTATAATAAGACTGATCCATCGGCATCCCTTCAACATACACAGATCAATCGTCACTCGACATGTTGAAAGCAGGTCAATACTCAGTAAAAACCCACGTGATCCGTATTAGCTTATGTTTGCTCTGTTGTAGCTAAAACGTTAAACTGTTGTGTGAATTTGACGAAGAAAAAAAATATTGACAAAGATTCAATAGATACATCTACATTGCTCTATATTGAAGAGGATTAATGAAGCATGTGAATCCGACATCCCATCCAATCAACTCCAAATTGTCGTACGGTTGTCATTGCTACCACTAATAAACCAACAATGCATAATTCATTCACACCTTATATGTTTTTTACTAGACACTAAAATTAGCAATTTTTTGAAAACATATCTTATTAGTCCTTCAATCGAAAAAATCTCCTATAAAAAACCTAAACGGTTAGACAATTTTAACGTCACGAAATGATTATTCCCTCTTAAATCACTATTTTGGTACCAAATATTCTATCGCTAATCTTACAATTTCCTATACGATTTCAAGCAAGATTAACCGAAATTTATAAACTACTAAATTGTGGGAAGAAAGGATGAGGGTCCATTCATCAATCCATGAGGAAGTGTGCAAGTGCTGGCAGTTAGGCATTGGTTAATCCCCTTCTTCCTCCTCTGCTTCCTTCTTTCCTCTGTCTTGTACAGCAAAATATTCTATCAACTTCCCTCCTCCCATCTCCCCATTATAAAGCACATCCCTCCTACTCCTCCCCATTCCCAATCCCACTCCAAATCTCTTTAACTCCATTCCCTTCCTCTTCCAATTCATCGCACTCACACCTCCATCCAAAATCCTTCATTTCATCTTCCTCTGCACCCAGAGCAACAATGTGTTCATCAAAGTTGCAGCAGCAGCAGCACAACGCCGGCACCGCCACCACCACCGCCACTCCGCCAGTCGTCCAAATCGATGGTCGCCCTGTCCTCCAGCCCAAATCCAACCAAGTCCCCACCTTGGACAGGCGCAATTCCCTCAAAAAAACCACTGCTCCCACCACAAAATCTCCCCTGCCCACACTGCCACTCAATGTAACCAAACCCAAATCTGCACAGCCTCTGTCCCCTCCCGTTTCTCCCACTACCCCTAAAATCACATCACCTCGCCCCAAGAAATCACCCACCAATGATCACTCCAGCAATCAAAGCCTCCTCGCTCCCATTTCTGAGAAGGCTTCGACGACTCCCAGGATGTTGCGCAAAGCGGCGTCGTTTAGCCTGGACAGGAAGACGACGACTACAAGTTCCCACAATTCGTTTGAACCCTCGTCTCTGAGCTTCGCCTCCTCTCTCATCGTCGAGGCCCCGGGGACCATAGCCGCTGCCAGGCGGGAACACGTCGCCATTATGCAGGAACAGAGGAAGATGAGGATTGTGCATTACGGTAGGACCAAATCGGCCAAGATCATGGTCTCGCCGCCGGTCGTTGATTCGTCGCCGGACGAGGACAAAAGGTGTAGCTTCATCACTCCCAATTCGGATCCGATTTATGTCACCTACCATGATCAGGAATGGGGCATCCCTGTCCATGACGACAAGTAAGTTCGGTTAATTTTGCATCAAAATTATGTGTATGAAGCAACCCATTTGCAATTTGATCAATCCCAGTCTACCAATCACATAATCTCATGAATCATTTCCTAACGAACTTCTTTGGACTTTACAGGCTACTGCTGGAATTGCTAGTCCTGACGGGCGCACAAGTCGGGTCGGATTGGACTTCGGTCCTGAAGAGAAGGGAATCACTGAGGGAGGCGTTTTCAGGATTCGATCCACAAGTTGTGGCCAAGTTCAATGAGAAGAAGATGAACTCCATCAGCGCAGAGTATGGCATCGACATCTGCCAAGTTCGTGGGATTGTTGACAATTCTAGCCGTATTCTTGAGGTAAAGACTACAAAGCCCATTTATTAGTTTTCTCGGCTGAATAGTGTCCTTTATCCATTTCCAACTACTCCCTTTTATTGATTTTGTAACCTTGCGGTAATCAATCAATGCAACCACCCTCCCTTCCCCCCATTTTTCTCCAAACTGGAAATGGAAGTTTTTTGTTTTGTCTTGATCGCCAAAAACGTAAACAAAAAACAGAGCATCGTCCATTTCTACTGTGGTCCAAAGTGACATCAGATGCTAAAGAGGTGTCATGATTAAAAGTTTTTCTTAACCTCGTGCCAGGTTGTGAAGGAATTCGGGTCATTTGACAAGTACCTATGGAGGTTTGTGAACCAGAAGCCGATCCAAACCCAGTACCGATGGAGCCACAAGATCCCAGTGAAGACCTCCAAATCAGAGAGCATAAGCAAAGACATGCAGAAGAGAGGGTTCCGGCTCGTGGGTCCAACCGTAATCCACTCGTTCATGCAAGCTGCAGGCCTCAGCAATGACCACTTAATCACCTGTCCAAGGCATCTCCAGTGCACACTCTCCGCCTCTCAATCCAATTGATGAGGTTGTCAACAACAGAAGATTGATTCATAATGCCTAAGAAAGGAAAGAACGTATAGGTTGTTTGTTTAATTAGGTTTGCTTGGCTGACATGATAATTGTAGGGTTTGTTAATTAATCAACTAGTGTGAGTTTGCAGCAGCTAATTGTGCTTGTGGGAGTTTGAGTGGGTGGGAGACAGAGAGCATGTGCAGGAAGGCAGAGGAAAGGGGGCAATGGCATGTGGTTTTGGGATTCCCTTTTTTTTTCTTCTTTTTTTCTTTGGTTTTTGTTTATAGAGTTGTGTTGTGTGTCCATCATCACCCCCACCACTTTCTTCAATTATGTGTTGCCCTGTTGATGCTGCTGTTGGCTTGGCTGTGAAAGAAAGAAAGAATAATCAGTTTTGCAGAGTCCTGCAGGCAGCCAGAGCCATCCCTCGGAGCCCTCATTGCCAAAAATATTCCTCTTTCTATCCCTTTGCTGCAAGCCAGCAACCTTTACCCCTTTTTCAAGTTTTTGGATAGGATAACAAGTGGGGATCTCTCTCATTTCATCAAGCTGCCTGCGATGTGGGCTCGAGATACAGGGGACTTTATGACCCTTTTGTCTCAAGGAACAGGGGAGATGGATATCAACTATCAAGGAAACCACAGTAGCTGGCCAAGATTCCTTATTGTTTTTTTTAATGGAGAGCGGGCGGTTCTAAAACCTAACCGGTGGCCAAGATTCCCCAGTTATCCAAGAAATCTGGTTGTGCTAAGTTTGTTTGTGAATATTAGTGCTAGTTTGCCCTTTTTGTGTGATGGTGTGGGATTTGTTCGACCTTGTGAACGTGACGATTCAGTTGTATTTTAAGTTAATAATTAACTAATGATGATGATGATGGTGATGGTTTATGGATTGTAATTTGGTGCTTGGATATTAATGGATTCCGATTCTGATATGTGGTTGGCTAGCTACTGATATTCTGTTGAGAGAATGAAGAAGAATCAAACTTGCACATGCTATCGAATCCTCTGCTTTGGTGGATGAACCCACCCCACTTTTCCTCCCTGTTCGCCCTTTGTTTAATGTTCGTGGGAGTGAGTGAGGGTAGAGAGGGTGTGATGATTGATGACAGTTGGTTGATGATGATGATGATGATGATGGTGAAGGGTATTGGGTTCTCAAAAGTCTTTGGATTGGGCTGTAAAGTGGAGGAGCGGAGTTCAAAGGCCGCACTGGGTTTGCTGCTGGGTCCTTCAATGGCCTGCAACTCCACCAATCTAACTTTTCTGAATCCAAATGTGCCATTCTTGTGCTGGGGAGCTTGTGTATAGGAATAGGATTCCCCTTGCTTGGGTGAGTTCTTTCGCCTATCTTATGTGCGCTATGAAGGAATCATTAATTTGGAGTTGCTTTTTGCCACATAGCTTAATTTTGACACAAGAGATAGGATAGGAGAAAAAAGCTATTTCGTTTATTTTTTTTTATAATTCTCGTTGAACTGTTGAAGTTATCATATATACTCATCAACCGAAAACCCTAATCGGCTAAAAGCCTAAAACATAGCAATGTGAACAAACTGTGCACATTGTACTTCATTTCGCTTCACTTTCTTTGTATTAGCAGTTGACAACAATAGGAGCCTCAACCACCTTATGGTTGTGAAAAGCGCGGATAGGTTAATATCCAAGAGCTAAACATAACTCTTAATGATCGACTCCTCGGGTTGATGCAGAAGGGAAAGCATGAAGGAATAACATTGATGGAAAAGATCGAGGTGAAGACACTAAAAATAGTTGATGGAATCAAAATATGATGGAAGTGGAAATGAATGAGCTTGCATGTTTCGAATCGTCCTACTTGAAATTGAGAGAAAAGATGGAGAAGAAAATGACTAAAAATGGTGATCCTTGGAACTCGCGAGAAGATTGTTCGGTTCGATGATGATGATGTTGTCAAAAAGGATAAAGGAGGACTTAAGAAATCTAATTGATTTCATTTTCATATGTTGTCATGGAAAGGTGAAAGGAAGTAGGAAGAATAAGGCATTATATTAAGTTTGTAAGAGACCATAAATGGTTCCAAGGGATTGGAGAAACGTTGTCGTTTTTAATTGAGAAAGTAATTAAATAAAATTTAATGGGGAATTTTTTTTAACCATATGAATTGTTTGTGCTAAATAGTAAATAGTATGCCTAAAAGAACCAAGGTATCATCATCGGTCATGGCATCATATCTTTGACTGGATTGAAAAAGGCGTAGGCTTTGAGCAATTTTGTTAAGAAAAAACAAAAACTTCCTCAAGTACGATGCGAACGAACGTCATATGGGGTGCTATTTGTACCAAGTATTAGGTGTCGGTCTTTTTAGCATGTCTAGCCCATCCATATGTGAAATTCGGAGCTAAATATGGCCCTCATGTCGTGGATCCCGCAGTGATAGTGTCTCATCTATTACAGATTTGTCTCAAAGAACGAGTCGTGCAAGAACGCAAGGATATAGCAAGTAAGTAACAAGGTTTTGCCTTTACTTTAGGACCAACTACAACAAGCTCGGGCAGACCAAGCTGAAAGTCCACCATCCTTCCTCACCGCAACGGATGGCAATCAAACCCATGGCCGCGGGTATCCGACCGCCCCCGGTCCAATCAAACCCTTGTGCACACCATACCCGCCCCATACCCATACCCGCCCCACCAAGAAAATTTTTTCACATATAAAAAAATGTGGATCAAATTGTAACCTATCAATGATAATGAAGGTAAGTCGAGAAAATAAATAGAGAAATGTAATTGAGTGCATCCTCTAATCAAAACCTAATTCATTTTCGTCAATTCTCTCTTCACTCTTTCACATTCCCCCATGTCAACAAGATTATGTTAGTTAATTATTAATTAGTAGATGTATCAATGGATGTTTTTGGATCATATTCTTTGAACCTTATTAAGAAAATGATAGCATTTTGTTGACTTGTTCGTTTAGTGTTATAATTAAAAAAATTCTTGTAAAGTTTTAGGAATACTGTTGGATGTACGGGGCGTGTATTACCCATGGGTACCCGAAACCCACGAGTATGGGGATGGGTTTGCAAAACACTCCCCACACGGGTATGGGTTTGGGTATTTGAAAACAGGAATGGGGATGGTTTAAGCAAACCCCCCCCCCCCCCAAAAAAAAAACCCGTCCCACTACCATCCCTACTCACCGCGACTTTTTCCCCGATGGAATGTCGCCCCCTCCATGGCTATCTCTAAGTGGCATGTGAATGCTCTGCACCTGCGTAGAGTTTAACGAAGAATTTAGTGTCGCAGCAAACTACGTCTACTCTTGCCTACTTCGTTTCCTTCTATTTTCTCCTATAAATTAATCAATTCATAAATTCATTTGATTTTATTTATTAATATATTTAAAAACTAATGTTATAAGATTGAGAAGGTGGTTTAAAATATGGTTCTTGAAGCAAATATCAAGCCGAAGGCGATGTGTCAATGGATATGCTTCTCGAGCATTCTTCATCCTCGCTGGATCAAGGATGTAACCTTCGGAGGATAATACCATCAGTCGCAAAGCAAATCACTAGAGGGGGGAAACTTATGTAGAAACGATAAAACAAACAATGATGGGGTAAAATCATCTCTAGTCCATGCTTCAATTCTCCCCCTCCTCGTTGATTTCAAAGGCAACTCTGACCTTGCAAAGATTCATTGAAAGAGGAAGAAACATGTGTAGAAGCGACGAAATTATAAATAAAAAAGGGAAAACGACATAATGAAACAAACATTGATCAGTCACTAGGATAATCATTGGAGGGGCAAGAAACTCGTCTAGAAACAATACAATAGAAAAAATACAATAGAAGAAAAAAATGTGGGCTAGTCACCAAGCAAATTATCAGTGAGAGCAGACACAGCCAAACATGTAGAAACGAAAAAATGTAAAAGAAAAAAGAATGGTAGAAAAAATAATATAATGAATAAAAAAAGGATGTGAGAAAACTACGTAATGGGGGAAAACTTGGCCATTGTCCATAAAAATCATTTGAAAGGGAAGATATTGGTGTAAAAATGATGGAAAAACACGACATAATGAATAAAGGAATGGGGAAAACGATACAATGAATAAAAATGAGGGGTAAAGCATCAAAATGGAAAAATAATTTGGTCATTCGCTAGTCGCCAAGCATATCAACGAAGGGAAAGAAATGTGCGTAGAAATGGCGGAATAAAAAAATAGAAGAAAAAACAATAGGATGAATAAAAACAATTGGAAAAAGGGGTTAAAATCTTACGATGCACTCATATGTAGGCTTATGTCAAGTAATTTATACTATACGGATGCATATATGTAAAGATGTTAGGTAAATCTGCGACATCTAATTTTTGTCATGTAAATCTTCTTTTTTGGTATATCGTTGATGAAATTTTTCAAGGTAGACAAATACATTAATTATTTTATATTATTGTTGGAAAAGTATGACAAAATTGTTTGATTTGATGGTATAGATATTTCTTGCCAAACTCAAATCATATACATTTTGCAGTTCACTATGATTTTCCTTACATTATAAATATGTTACAGAGAGGATCAAACAAAGGCACAAATATCATTCCTCTTTCTAAACACCCCCTCATATATACAATATTCTATTTGCATCTCAGTTCTCTTGTCTTTTTAGATTCTTAATCTGGTGAAGAACAATAACAATGCAATAACTCTTTCGCCAAGAAAACAAAGGGAGGTAAAAGATCAAGATGAAAAAGAATAAGAAGAATTGTATATGAAGATTACATTCTCCAAACGCAAGTCATGTATATAAGAAAGCAAGTGAGGTTGTCGTCCTCATGTGTAGTTAGGTAAAGTTTTTTTTATTTTTTTTCATGTAGGAAAAAATTTCACCATCAACCATCCTTCTTACGAAGACCTTGCATTTAAGTACTTGGGTCGACCAACAACATGAACCTCAATCACCTTATGATCAAGAAATGCTCAGGCTTGCTAATATCTAAGAACTAAACCTAACCCTTAATGATGAGCTATGAAGGATTGCCATTTTGTGTCCTCTTCCTCTTCACTTTTTCCAGCAATTATTCCAAGTAGGAATCTGGGACCAAACTATTTAGTGTCTTCACCTCAAGATTTTCACGTCAATTCCTCGTATGATTCTACAAACTATTTAGTGTCTTCACCTCAAGATTTCCATCAATGTTATTTCTTCCTACTTTTCCTCCTCCATTAACCTGAGTAGCTGATTAACAGTTGGTTTAGCTCTTAGATCTTAGCCTATCTGAGCATTTTTCGACCAGAAGGTGGTTGAGGATCTTGTTTGTTGGCTCATGTAACCACATGTAAGGTCTTCGAAGGAAGGATGGATAGATGTGAAGGTTAGTCTGCATGAGGGAAAAACAAAAAAATTTACCTCACTATTTATTAGGACGAAAAGCCCGTTTACTTTCTTATATACACTGGCTTGCGTCGTGAGAAGGTGGTCATCATGTATGTCTCTTTCTCAAAAAAAATTTCATCTCAGTCTTTTGCTTCCCTTTTGTTTTATTGGTGACTAGAGTTTTATTTTCTCATAGAAAGCTGTAAAATATAAGGGATTGTATGGAAAGATGAATGATATTTCTGATGCATGACCGGTCATTATCATTATTCTTATTATTAGTTATTTAATTAATTCGTATTAGACCGTATTTATCTTGGAATAAGACTCAATTAAGATTTTATAATTGTGTGTATCCTATTTAGTTGGATTAGTGGATTTATTATTATTATTTTATTAGAATATATAATTTTGAAAGGAAGCGAACTGTAGCCAAGGAAGAGATCCTCCCCTGCGGACGCGGCTAGTTGAGTTCTTCTCTATTTTGTCTGCTTGTATTCCATGCGAAAGGGACGTACAATGCTTGGGTCGTTCTTCTCTATTTTGTCTTCTTGTATTCAATATGAAAGGGACGTACACTATGCTTGGGT